GGATGTGCATTATGGTCCTATAGTGATCGATATGTTCGTACGGGTCAAAAGTACCGTCGTATGAATCGATGTTTGGTAGTTTTAACCTTGCCGGAATGGGGTGTTGAATGATGACTTTAGTCAGGGGAGATGACTCCTTAAATCTCTTTGACGAAGAGATTATCTTATATCTCCAACGGGAAACTCTTCTCAAACTAGTCTTCGTAATTCATGTCGTAGGGCATTACGGGGGAGTTTGGCGATGTGTCGTCGAGCTAAGTCCTCGGGGACATCTAGAGGAATGTGATACTGACGGCCTATCCGTGAAGGATGGGTAGAGCTTGTTGTGTCTACAAGCTCATTCTCTGGATGTGTTGGAGGGCGCATCCTTAGCGGTGGAATAGGAACTTCGACATGAAGAACATCTTCAAATTCTAGCAGGTCTCGAGGGAGAAGAACATCTTCTTGGGGTGCTAGTGCTGGTCCTCGAGTCTCTCATAAGAGTTGGAGAATCTCATTCTGCGAGTCTTCCATCTTTTTGATATGATCTTCCAGGGATGGTCCAGAAGTCCCTTTTCCGGCAGAGTTTCGACCGCCGGGGTAAAAAGAGGCAGATGCCTGGCATCCTTAATTCAGGGACTGATTCTGAGATTGATGTGAATTGGAGCGGGAGGCTCCAAGGATGCGATTAATAAACATGTTAGCCATGGCGGTGATGCTTTAAGATAGTGGGATTAGCAGTTCCCACAGACGGCGCTAAACTATTACGGGCTAGAATATACATGGCAATGGAGTTTCAATCATTCATTTTAGCGTTACATATCTAGTTCACATACAGAGAACACAATATTTTTTACATGGAAAACTCTTGAAAGGGGAAAAACTATGGGGCCTAGCCCAATTAAAAAGATTTCACTAGAACTTGAATTGGTTACATTGGGCTGACTCATCTCTGAGGACAATCAGATTATAAGTAGCAATTGTACAATAGAAATTCGGGTGTTAGGAGATGATCTGACAGAGCTTCGGGCCTCAGAGGATGGTCTGACAGAAATCTGGGCCTTAGATGATAACCTGGCAAAGAAGAGGGCCTCAGGTGGAGGTCTGACGAAGGTGAGGGTTTCTTACAGTAGTCTGACAAAAGTAAAGGCCTCAAGTGGTGGTTTGATGGAGCAACGGTGTGAGACAGTGGTCCGACAGAGTAGAGGGTGTCAGGTGGTGGTCCGGTGGAGCAATGGCGTTTGGCGGTGGTTCGGCGGAGCACCGGCATTAGGCGGTGGTCCAGCGGAGCACAGGGCATCAGGTTATGGTCCGACGGAGCAACGGCGTAAGCCGGTGGTCAGTGGATGTCTGGTGTTAATGGAGCAGCGGTGGTTCATTGGAACTCCGGCGGTGGTCCGGCGAAACTATGGCGGTGGTCGAGGAGGCTAGGAAGCAAGAGCGATCTCCAATCTCTCTCTTTTATCCTTAGGCTCAGGGGGTCCCTTTTCAAGAGGAGATGGATCTCTATTTATAGATTTTGGGAATGGCATGGCCTGTAAATAGATGGAGGATCAAGGGTAAGTTCGGAGTGTTTGGATGCACAACCGATCTTGAATCACTTGATCATGAACTGTTTGATGGACATTTGAATGTCTTAGTGATTTCTAAATTAAATGATCTTGGGCTCGTTGGATTTGTCTCATTGAGCCGCTTGATTCGAATATAAGCTTATTATGTTTGAAAACCGTTTGGTAATCCAAATTGTGGTTTGAACATTCCAACAGCGCTTCGGGTCATTGATTTGGACCGATTTGGGCTCATATTGGGTCGAATTTGGTGTCATTAGATTTGTATTTCCGAGATGCTCAATTCGACTGTAAATATGCTGAAATCAGAGTTCAGATGCTCTTGATTTAATATCGGTAGTTTCCAACTTGGTTTTGCTTCAAGATTTGTGCTCGATTAAGATAATTTTTGGACGATGTATCAATAACAATATATAATAATTATTTAACATAATTAAATATTTGAATTAAATTTGAAATAAATTGAATATCTTCTAAAATGACAAAAAAATATTTTTTTTAAATAAGATTTTATATTTTATAAAATATTTTAGCCATTTAAAACTAGTTATTAATTTAAAATAAATAATACTTAATAATTAATTTAACTTAAGATGTATATAATATTTTTAATTAAAATTAATTTTAAATTGAAGAGAATAAAAATACAATCAGATTGATGTAATATACCAAACTTTTGTATTAAAATTGGATTTTTTTATGATTTAATGAAGTTAAAATAGCTTTAAAACTATTTAAATAAATAAAAATAGAGAAAAAGCCTCAGAATGACACTTGGCGGCTCGGGATAGGTCCCACGGTCTGTGGGCAATCATTGCGCAACCGGCAATGATTGCTAATAATTGCGACAATCATTCATACCACGTATGTATTTTTTTTAAACATGTCAGCGGTCGATGCTGACCGTTGGATCGTATGATATCTCGAGGTCAGCTCCTGGCGAATGAAGTTGTAACTAGAAGCCCTAAGTGGTTTTTGGGCTTATTCACACGGTTAGGTGAATGAAAACGAATGAAATTTTAAACCTAAACTAAGTACATAAACAAAAATCGTAGGGCTTGTTTGGTCTAAAATGTGCTTTTCAAAATGCTAATTAACTCTAGGTATCCTAGCCTAGGGTTAGGGTTTTATCTCAGTACAATAGATGGATTCAGTGGATCTTAGGTTATCTGAACTTGTAGACTATCTACAAATAGATTTGTAGAAGAGTCCACGAACTCCCAAAGTCTAGATCGAGCACAAAAAGCTTTAGAAAGCTCTTACGATAGGTTCACCGGAGATCTCACCGTCGGCGAGGTTTTAGCAGTGACTTTGACTTGGGGAAGGTGGGGAAAGATTGTGGGAGCTCTCACACCAACGTTCTCGAGTTAAACAGACTTGGAGAAAGAGCAAGAGCAAAAAGATCATTTCTTGGAACCCTAAAATCCCTATTTATAGCCCTAGGATTATAACCAACGTCTAAGATCAAATTTATGATCAATTAAGAGGAAAAATTGTTTGAATTGGTCATGGTTTGCATAAGGGATCATTAGGGAGGATTTAATTGCATTAAATAGGTCTTAATTGACTTGCATAGGTCAATTTGACAAAATTAAAGCTTGGGTCAGGGGTTGAGCCTATGAGTCTCTGAATTGATTTGAATTTGATTTGGGCTCCATATGACTTTAATGAATCAACCTGGTCAAACAGTTTGACTCAAGGCATGGGTCTGAGCTCAACAACTGTAGTCTGACCCATGAAGCCTAAGGGGAGGTGAGATTTGAGCCAAGGAATTTAATTTGACCCCAATATATCCTAAGTGTTTTACTTGAATTTGAATTGAAAGATATTTAAGTTTGTGTTATCAATTTTATTAGAAAGTTGGAATTAGATTCCTTGGGTCGAAGCCTTATAGCCTGAGTCTGCCTTAGAACCTAAGTCTAAAATGGGAACTGAAAAATCAATAACTCGAATATAGTAATGCAGTGCAAATCAGGGCTTACTCCGATCTAGATTGGGGAGCTAGCTAACCACCTAGGAGCTTCCAAACCATGAGTCTAATCTTTTAATATAGAGTGATAGGGACGTTTTTTAGATCAGTCCTTAATTGGCCCTTTAACATATGTTGGTAATATGAAACTTGAAATAAAATGCAATTAAATTTTAGATACTTTCTAATTGATTTCTAATGTAATGTGTGTAAATTGACTTGATAAATGTTTAGAACTTGAATGAAGTAGTTTTAAAAAGGTATAAAAATAGATATTTATCCTAGAGATTACACAAATTCCCCTGACAGAACTACACCCTTATAAGTCACGTGGTCTGTCAAGACCCGTAGGAGGGGAGGTGCCTAACGAAGGAAAGAATATGCAACAAAATGCTATGCAAACTCCAGGCGGTCCCGAACTTACTTCTTAAATTTGTTAGATTTTCTATGTGGGCTGAAAAAATTTAAAATTTGATTAAGGTAGAAAAATTTTATTCGTACCCTCACGAGCTTCCGATCGGATTCCAAACAAAATCAAAATCGATATGCAATATCTCTAAAAAACTATTAAAAACATGCAATCTTATATCACAATCAATATCAAACAATCAACTGAATAATTAAATCGATTAAATAAATAAAATGTACATAAGCCTTTTAATATTACAACCCAAAATTGTAGAAAAGTATAGTGACGGGCACCACTGACAATAACCCGAATTTTTACTCCTAAGACTCAAGTGACTTTGAGAATGGGTCTTCACATTCTTCATTTTTTCATCCTTCTGTGGGATCCTTGGGTCATCGGGTCCGGATATCCAAATGAAACACTTTCTTATTACAAAATTTAAATTTTTTTATACTAAAAAACTATTTTAAGAAGTAGTAAAAAAATCATCCCAAATGAAATCTAAATCTAACGAGTTTCCAAACATCATAGAGTTAGGTCAATGTCAACATTATTCAATTATTCATGCAACTATTTGTACCTTAGTAAGTATTATAATTGCATTATTGTATGAGATAGGTATAGAAAGACAAAAAAAAAAACTTTGAATAGAATAATGTGAAACATATCTTTCTAGCTTATATCTTGGATTTAGTTCAGATTGTATTGAGATGATGTGAATGAGAACCTTTAATCAAATTATGTGACTTAATGTAAAGAAGACTATTAATTATAAACACATTCAATATCCAAATTAAAGACACTCTTTTTAATGATGTACCAGACTATATTTTACATTCAATCAAATAAAAAAAATAATTTCACTACATTTATTTTATAGTTAGTTAAATAATTTTAAATATTTAATATACACTATTTTTTATTTCACAAATTATTTAAAATACAACTGAATTATAAATACAAAGAATTAAACAGACCTTAAAAGCATACTATATGCATAATTAGTGCAAAATAAGTCATTAAAACTCTTAACAGTCTGAAGAAAATATAAAAAGAAAAATTAAAATAAAAAAACAAATTTCATTTTGCAAGTCCGGGGAATAATATTTATCCAGAGAAAAAATCTTGGACCCCCTTTCCGGCGAAGACGCGATCCGATAACTCGGCGAGGATCGCATTAACGGTGAGGAGTGCTATGCTGGAGCCGGCAATCACCGCAAGCACGACGCCGGTGGTTCCGACAACCTTTCCGAACTCGGGCCACTCGATCTCTCTCACTTCGTCCGCCACACCTGCAAGTAGTTCATCGGCCTTCGATCTCTCCTCCTTCCTTGATGCCATCATCTCACGTATCTCCGCCGCCACCTCCACCGTTTTTTTCTCCTCCACTGCGCCGTCGTCCTTTTTCTCCGCTAGGTTTTCCGCTGCGCCGTCGTTATTCTCCTGGGCGGAGAAGCGGCAGCGAAGGAACGTAGCATTCTTTCGCAGCGATAGCGGCGCAGGAATAAGACGGGCAGGAACAATCAATGGCCGGTTAAAGTTCTTCAGAGCGGAGGGTGGGCTCTGGGCGAGGAAACGAGAGAAGGAGATGGAAGCGGCCATGGATTTGCCCGGTCAAATTGAAACCGATTGAGTGAGATGAAATTGGGAATTGGGGAGTGGGTTTGGGGATAGACTAGTAAAGTTACTCGCAAGAGGACTACAGGTTTCACAAGAGAAGGAATTTCTTTATAATTTCAATGAAGGGTTTCAATTTTTGACCCAATTTGAAATCTGAACAGAAAAATTTTAAGTTCGAGTCAACCCATTTGCAAGATCAATCAGATTTCAAGTTCAGAATTCTAACTCATTTCTAAAATCGCTTCGGGTTTACCCATAAATTCGAAGGGGACCCGAATGCAACCTTGGTGGTTAACACTTGGCTTATTCTCTTCTCGATTCCAAACCCGCATCCGGCCCGCACAACAACCACTCCCATGTCACACCCAACACACGTGCTCTTGTTGCACCCAACAGCGCTCTACTCGCACCTTGCACATGGCTCGCACACTATGCGGCCCGCACCCACACTCGCACCTCACAGCCTGCTCGCACCCCAAAGTCACTCTCACGTCACACAGCTCACGCCTCGCCCTCTCCCATGTGCATTGCCCTCCTCAAATCAGACCTTGCCCAGTCACCTCGAACCCAAGTTAGCGGGTTAGGTCAAGTAAACCTATTAACCCGGGGTGCCAGATTCAAGTCTGAATTCTTGACCAGATTGCATAATCAAGTCACGTTCGAGTTAGATTAGTTGAATGCTGGTCAGTTTAGGGTTGAACCAAAACCCGACCCAAAAACTAGTTTGACAACCCTAGCTTCAAATGGTTACAAATTTTAATTAATAAATATTAAGCAAAGAAATATTTATTTGTTTATTTTAATATCATTTTCAAATTAGAATATAGTACATGATAAAATTGAAGGTAAATTGTGGGTTGTTTGGTTTAGGAGCTGTGTTGCTAGATAACATTAAATATAAATAATTATTAATTTATATTATATATTTAATTATAAATAGTTACTCATCTTAAATATAAATATAAATATCTCTAATCTTTGATTTTAATTCAAAAGAGCCCATATGGGTTGGTAGCACATGTGGGAATCTTTTATTAGTGCTTAATATATAACACTTTAAAATTTGTGGATATATGTTATTAAATAAAATATGTTATATTTAAATTAATTCAATATTTAATTAAATTATTAAAATATATTATGAATTGAACCGATCAATTTAATGGTTGGCTTGTTGACTGGCGATTCAAACATGTTCTCACCAGTTTGATGCTGGACTTATTTTTCATGAGAACCAAACTAACCAAAGGACTGATTCATGGTTGAACCGGTCGAACCAGCGGTTCTTGTTCATTTTTCAAAACCATAGATAAAGTAAACTCACTTAGTTTCTAGTGAAAATCATTTTTTTTTTACAACCAAGCTACCTTTTGATCACCCTCCCTTGCCATTACTTGCATGCTATCGAAGTCCTATGGCCACCACCATCACCTACCACCATTTTTGTCGTGGCCACCACTCACCACCACCTCTTTGATGGGCACCATCGCTTGCCCCTATCGACCACCCTCCGCCTTCAACTAGTCACCACCATTTTAATCTTTACACAACATTCATTTTATTACGTGCCAAACAAAAAGAGTAATATCATGCATTCCTTTTACACTAATCCAAATAATTTTAAATATTTAAATATATTAAATTCATTTTATATTACATATCTTTTACTCGACATTCCTTTTTTAATAAACCAAATAACCCCTTAAAGTAAAATGGGTCAAAATATTTCAAATGCAAGGAATTTGAGGATATTAGTGTTTGGTTTGAAGTGAAACAAATGTAGTGTAAATTTGATTGTATTTAAAATGCACCATATAGTATAAATTCAATGTATGTAGTATTCATTTAATTGGAGCCATTTTTAAATAAACTATAAATTCATCATTATTGTCGCTTTAATGATCCAAATTTTAATTCATCAATAAACTGCTAAATATCTTATCTGCACCTTGCTTATAAAACTTTGCATACATGGAAGTTTGGTTGAAAGTGTTATGGCACTGTGCTAATGAGCGTAGCACTACTAACCTCTCTATATGTAAGCCCGGCGAAGCTAGGCCTTAGCACTAAGACACAATTTCTTATGTTGTACAGTAACAAGGGGTAGTGCTGCGGCGCTATGATTTTGAGCATTGTGGTGTTATATTGGGAAATTTATTTTCTTAAATATCTTACTCAACAAATCTAAATAATGACCGTAAGCTCCCCCACCCCCTCATTTGCATCCTTGGGTGGAGAAGAGAAGGAGAGGAAGGGGGAGAGAAGAAGAGAAAGAGGATAAAATATTTGCTCTAGGGCATTTTTATATGTTCTCCAAATGATTAAAGTTGTTCTAATCATGGTAGGTAACCTTTATCCTACACTTATTTTAGTGATTTTCATTTCTATTATTTTATATCTCTCTCAAATATGATAAAATTATAATATCTCAAGATTTAGAAAATTTTTGTTGTGTGATATTTTATATGTGATATATATCATTATTCTAAGCATTCGTGATCAAATTGAAATTTCACAAGGTAACTTTGCAAATATGATGTTTTATATGAAATGAATAAGATAAAAATATGTATAAAATGAGTAAAAATTGGTGTATTAAATTTGAGTTTGAATTGCATGATATGCATAAAATCTATTGGTCTCCTAACATGACATGCATTTTGACAAGACATATACATATTGATAAGCACACTGTTGACCTCATCTTTGTATGAGGTTATCAAGGCCCATTCAACCTCCAATCAATCTTCAATCCAACTTTCAATTGGTCTCAAATTCCATCTTCACTTCAGACCTAAATCTAGCTTTCAATCATCCTTTAACCTAACCTTTGATCAAGTTTTAATTATATCTAGTCAACTACAATAATTTACTTAATTTTAATTTATGAATATAATCCAAATTTAGTCAATCTAACCTAAAGTCCAGTTCAAATCAAGAATTCCAGACCAAAATCAATAGTTAGGGCCCCCTATCATGAAACCCTTTTTGAGTGATTTTCAATCATTTCAAAACACTTCCAAACGAAATCTTATTCATGATCTATCAACTACATATTTATTAGGCATGTCCCTAAGGTCAACCCTTCAAATTTGAGCTCAATCTGATGGCTCTAAACCTAGAAACTAAATGGAAATTCAAAGGCTATAAGACTTTTAAATATTTATAGCTTATGCAATTAGACTTGCCAATTTATGGAATTTGACCTTGGGATCCTCCCCAAGACCCTTGAACATGTCAATAGCCTTTGTTATGACATGTTGACAATTAGTTTGACCCATAGTTGACCAGGGGTCAAAATGATCAAAATCCCCTTTAAAGGCAATTTTGGACTTTTACCCTAAACTCAACATGGCCCAGTAAAATAAAACTTTGAAACCTCTTCTAATACATCCTAAACATTATTAAAAATATATTGGATCCAAACCCATCCCTTAGTTTGACCTGGTTGATAAAGTCAACCATGGTTGACTAAAGTGTCTTTTAACCATTCAAACATCTATTTTATCTAAAATGGATTTCTCATCATTTGAAACCACCTCCATTTAGTTCATATCCCCAATGTAAACTCAATGGACCCAACCCTTGACCTTAGGTCAACCTGGTTGACTAAGTCAACCAATTTTTACCAAACTACGTATATATTTCAATCCATTTCAAAACCTTTAACTAATATATTCTTTGAAAGTTCAAGGAGGTTATGAGACCTAAATGAACTAGCCCGAGGTGCACAAAGAGGGTGTAAATTGATGAATTTAAAAACTAATCGCTTAATTTAAAAATAAAGACAATTTATTTATAAAAAAAATAATAGCATTTTTTACTTCGTACGGATGCAAGAATTTACCAAATCATAAAAATTACTATGATGAAATTTTAATTAGTAGAGCTAATCATTGAGTATGATTCTTCACCAAGCTGTACAATAAATTTAAAGTTCAAAAAATAAATGCAGAAAATAAAAAATCAGAATAAACACTAGAGATTTATAGTGGTTTGATCAAACAATGAACTACATCCACTCCCAAAGTCCTCCACTTCGAGTATTGCACTATCACTATAGTGTCTCTCATTTTTCCCCCATAGCAAGACAGAGAAGCCCTTACAAATATCCCTTCTATAAAAATCGATGCGGTAGAGTGCTAGAAGCTTTGTCACCCTCCAGGTGACAACAGTGAACCTTCAATTTTTTTCTCCTTCTTGGAGAAGGAAGAGAACATTGAACTCCTTTTTCACCATCCTGGTGTTGACAGAGAACCACATCCTTAAACTGAAGAATTGTTTCCAAGATCCACCCAAGAAAGCTAGACAAACACTTGGAGGAATAAGGCAAGACACTTTCTTGGAGCAACCGTGTGACCCCCTCACACTACTTATCCCTCACACACAAGCTCTCCCTCTTCTTCCTTAAGCTCTCCTATAACTTCTTCTCAAATCTCCCTCTCTAAAAACACTCAGCAGCCAAGAACTCTTGAAATAAGTCAATGAGAGAGAATTAAATACAAGGCCTTACAAAAGCCCTAAATTTAAATATGATGACTCTGATTGTCCAGTACGATCATGAATCATCTTATATAATTAGTTCAAAGTACTCCAGTTAGTAATGCACAAATAGCTAAGTGATATACGATCAATTTGAGGAATTGAGCTGATCGTCTAGGACGATCAGTTCAAATAACTTGGATTATCATCTAGTATGATTGGCGATGATTTAATTATCACCCATGTAAGAATCAAATCGTATAATATGATTGGTCAAATAGTCCTGTACAATCTGATTGGATCAATTGATCCAAATTTGTTTCCAAATTACTTGATTAATTTATGCAAAATTTAAATGCATCGTACAATATAGTGATAATAAAATTTGAAATTTAAAATATTGCCTTAATTATGATTGGCGGCTGGGATCCAGATTTTTAGTTGATCATCCTATATGATATATATTATACAGTATGATTAGTTCATCTTGTATTAATTAGCATAATTAGTT